ATGTAGATTAAGTTCCCGAAATTTCAGTCCCGCAGCTTTTATTGGTCCTGAGATGAAAGTACGTGACAAACGCATACACAGACACACAGACAACCTCACGTCAGTATGCGTTTTTCGTGTTGCATTGCTGCAAAAAACGCATAATAAAGCAGCAACCATTCATACAGTTAACGGACTGGCTGCTTCAAGTTTAAAGCAAAACGCATGATTGCACCGGTAAGCAAGTGCGTTGCAGCCTAAAGTTATTTGTTCTAATATCACACTTACACTGTCGCGAAAATTCACTCTAGGGGAATATGAAAATGCAGCTTCGAAAATCAAAGATTTTGGTACATGCTACGTAAAAGAAAGTCAGCGTCAGCTTCTTCTTCATGCATGTTATGAGCTTTGAGGAAGTGACTTACAAACTGTTCACTTTTTCTAAAAAAACTGTTGCGCCTTTAATGCCATCGATGCAAAAACAAAGTGAATACTTTTTACGTACCGATAAACAGCCATTTTCAACTGGCTGCACATGTTATGTTGCTGCTGAAGCAACTCAGCTCAAATAAGCCCAGTACTCTGGAAAGGTCTTTAGCTAAGGTACGAGTAATAATCTTTCAGCAGCATCTACTGCAACGCGTTCAATGAATTCGTGTGTGATTTGCTGCTAGCTCCGCCAGTAACAATTTATGATCGGACCCACCAGCCATATGAAGAAATAGGGTCTGTTTTCTTATCGAAATGAGCTTGTGCCTTGCCAAAAACGTGCAAAATATATTTCACCGCCAGTAGGTGTAGGACGTACATTCACAATGCTTGCAAATCAAATCGTGTGAAACTAGTCAAAATTTATAAGTAAGCTTCTGGGAGCATACTGATCAAATATACTGACTAGCTTACTTTTTTTGTATTTTTTTGCAGCAGGTTACTTATAATAGAGATTAACATCTTGTTCGCCGCAGCTACCCGCCCTTTTTGCACCGAACTCTGCTCGATTGCTATCATCAGTGGGAAACGTTACTACGTGAGATACATTTGGTACTGACTGTGTTCTTATTTTGGCAGTTGTCGGTAAAACACTAACTCTCATCGTTGTTGCTGTTGTTGATGATGGTGGCGATGGTGTTATTGTTGGCATGGTTGTTTTCTCCGTTGCTACTGAAGAGGGTGAAAATTGCGTTGTAGTTAATGTTGCTTGTAAATTTGGAATTTGAGGTTCAGTACGGTGTACTCCAGAAGGCTTTGGTGGAACTGTAATATCCGAGTCGGCATTTTCATTTTTACCTCCTAAATTTTCCAAAAGTCGTGCTGTTTTAGTCATTTTTGTAGTTTCTAGTGTAGCGATATTCGTAAGTGAAATCCTTGCTGTTTTTGAATATTCGTCCATTTTTTCAAAGTCTGCAGCCATTTTTACTATTTCGGCATCAGCACCAAGCATAGCAGTAGTTTTGGAGAATTTCGGTACTATAGTCATTTCCGGAATCGACGTTGATGAAGTAGAGTACGTTTCATAATTCGATGACATTATTCCTTCCATCGTTATATGAATTTCCCCTGGTTTTAATCCGCTTGGACGATCCTTTAGTGAATACTTTTTTGACACTTCAAGTATTTTTGCATGCGAAGTCCTCCAAGTACTTCGATGTTTCTCAGTTTGCCGACCAACTTCCTCATGACTGCTTCTCGACATCTCATTCCTTGCATCGGTCAGTTTTCCCACCGATGCCGTTGTGTGAAGTTCCCATAATGCAGACGATCTGTTCGGCTTTTTCGATGCTTCAAGTTTCTCGCCAACTTTTAATTCATTTGAGGCAACGGATTTGATGATGTTATCATCAGCAGCTGATGCTTTCACAGAAGTTCGGTTTACGATCACAGGGCTTTTAGATGAAGTAGAAAAATTTGAAGTATCCTGCGAATACTCTTGAGCTGTTTGTAAATTATCATTTTTAAAAGCTTCAAGGAAAAAAACTGGAATCGGAGTTGGAATGGTTGTCTTTTGTCTGGACCCTTGATGTTTGAGGCGATTTTTTGAGGCGGTTGTTGAAAAAGTAGGCAAAACAACAAAACTCGTCCTACTGTGAAAATTTTCCAGAACTGCGGTGATTTCCAGATCTGAGTCATTTGTTGGAGCCCTGGTGGCCAATTCTGTTTTCAGTTCCGGTTCGAATTTTACTTCGGAACCTGAAATTACGTCTTTACATAAATTAAAACCAAACTGAATTTCCTGTCACACGTCATCCGTACCTTCAGTGAACCATGCATAAAACAAGAAATCATGACCGCCCTCGCCATCGATGTGAGGATCTCCTGCTAGTGGTGTTATTAGGGTGTTCCCTCAACCAGACGTTCCTGTCTCGATAATTTAATCCGCAAACAATGAAAGTAAAAGAAATGAAATTTTGGAATTGCATTCTTCACTGCGCACAAGGCTAATCCAGGCTGGCACAGACCAGGCTTGCCGGTGCGATCATGCGTTTTATCACTACACTCACAGGTCACTAATAGCAGGAATGATCTCTGTGCTTTAGCCTAACACTTAGGCTCATATTGGCTGTGCTTTGGCCCCTTCCGGCATGCAGGAGAAAGGGCATCGGCTGGGATGAAGGTGGTGCATTACAGAGCCGCATGGAGCTCCAGGTACATACATGATTACCAATTTTTTGCATAAAGCCCGATCGTTTTGGTAAATGCTCTCTTTTCGGAGAAATAAAAAATACAAGTTTTTTGAAAAAATGCAGATTTCTAGTTCACTAACTCAGGCTGGAACGCACCGGGCAGGCCGTGCGATCATGTGTTTTAGCACCAGACTTGAAGTACTCAGGTCATTAACTGCATGAATGATTGTTGATTTACATCTGCCTTTTGCGGTTACTAGCATAAATCACCATAAATTTTGTATAAAGTAAGTGTACAGTTTCCATTTAACAGTCATTCTTTAAAAATAACCTAGCTATTCAGTGAGAAATTTTTCCGCCAAAAGTTTTAAGTGCCCGTACATAAGAACCACGCGTACCTTAAGGCTGAATTTGAAATACTTAATTTGTACTTGGACAGGAAACATTCCCCGAAATTTCAACCTTCCAGCTTTTCTGGTTGTCGAGTAAACAATTCTCCTGCCAAATTTTTCATGTGTTCGTACGTAAAAACCATGCACACCTGAGGGCTGGATTTGAAATATTTGGGTTGCACTTGGACAGGGAGCATTCTTTCCAAAATCTCAGCTTTCCAGCTTTCCTGGTTCCCAAGTTAGCAGTTTTCCCGCTAAAACTTTCATACGCTCATGCGTGAGCACCACGCATACCTGGGGCTGAATTTAAAATTTTTAGCTAGCACATGCACAGGATTATCCCTATAGAGTTTCAGCCCCTTAGCCTGTCTGGTTCCCGAGATCGCTTTCTCACCAAAAAATCTGCATATTTTTTTAAAGCGTCCGTACGCGGCACCCAGACGTCCGCGGGGGACTATATTAAAAAAGAAGAGTCGCGCATGGTGTGGGCACATATCCCCAAAGTTTCAGCCTTCTAGCTTTTCTGGTTCTCGAGTTGAAAGTGGGTGGCAAAAAGTGCGAACACACAGACACACGCACACACGCACACATACACACACACACACACAGTCTCTTCCGAATATGCGTTTTTGCAATTTGCATGCATGAAAAAACGCATAAAAAGTGAAAATGTTATTCGAGCGGTCGTTTTTCAAAAAATCCAAGTATGCAAATGAACTGAATGTTCACCTACATATTTGGATAAGGGCGGTCGTTCGCTGCAAAACGCTCTCGTTTCTGATTTTTTGGTGAACTTGCGTATTTCTCGTGCCCTCCTGCAAGGAATTTTACTTCCAAGCACAATTAAGACCTCACTTGGGGTAAGAATATGCCCCCAAAATTTCAGCCTCCCAGCTTTCATGGTTGCTGAATTGAAAGTGGGTGACAAAGTTGACGCATTTCCGAACACACATGCACACACACATCGGGCGGCCTCTCGACAATACGTCTTTTTGCTCACTGTAGCAGCGCTATAGTACTGCATAGCAAAAACGCATGAAAACATATGATCGCATCGGCTACCCCGGTGCGTCGCAACCTGAGTTTTTCTATTGAAATCAGACGAAAGTAGAAAAGCATACCATTGCTGATAGGTTCCGGGATACCACTGATTTCAGATGCATTTTCTCCACCCACCTGCAACAGTGCAGCGCTCTCTTCCGGCGACAGTTCCGTGCTGTCAGTTTTTGGATTCTCCAACGCAGTTGCTTTATGAAGCTTGCTCGCTGGTGTAGCCAATTCATCGTACACAGCAGAATTTTTTTGTGCAGGGATGCGGTCCAGATCCACCTGCTTAGAAATAGCAGCTTCCTGCTTTTGTCGGTAAATGAAGGGAATGAGAAAAATCGTAAATAAAAGTATAGCGAGGATAATGCTGATCCGTATAAGCCAGATTCCAAAACGTGACATCGCCGCACCCAAGCTCCTTCATGCATTGCTCATAAGGTGCTATATTGCTTATCTCCTGCAAGCGCAATTATTATGCGTTTTATGTGTTTTTCGTGCGTTTCTGCACGCACGCAAATTGCAAAAACGCACATTGCAATGATCGTGTGTGTGAGTGTGCGTGTGTGTGTGTGTGTGTGTGTGTGGGAGTTTGTGCGTATGTGTTTGTTTGTATGTGTGTGTATGTGTATGTGTGTGTATGTGTGTGTGTGTGTGTGTGTGTGTGTGCGTGTGTGTGTGTGTGCGTACGAGTATTTCAACTCGGCAACCAAACAAGCTCCGGCGCTAAAATTTTGTCAGTTGGTTCCCCGGCCGAATGCAAATCCAGGATCGTGGTACCAACCCTCACGTCCGTCTGAGCCCCGCGTGCGAGTGCGTGAAGATTGCTAACTCGGGAACGAGAAAAGCTAGAAGGCTGATATTTTGAGGTTATGTTCCCCGTTGATATAGAACTCAAAGACTTCCAATTCAGCCCCCAGGTGTGCGTGAAAATTCACGCGTCCGGCCCCGCAAGGGTTCTTGGCCGGAAAATCGCTGACTTGGGAGTTAGGAAAACTAGGAGGCTAAAATTTTAAGGGGATTTTTTGAGCTCATGTACAGTTACAAAAGGAAGAAAGTGCTAGCAGCAAGGAGACGAAAATGGTGGCTAAGCCCCCTTCGCCTTGCCCAGTCACTCTTCGGTTCCCTGTGATATGCAAGTGTCCCGTCTCTTGACTTGAGTTCCCTCTCTGTGATTTTTAATGTGGTGAATAGAAATGAACTTGGAATTGTTTCTGTGGCTCTAAAATTGTAAGGCGGCAGCATTGGGCTGCTGCTGCTCTCGCCCCTCCGTCCCCTGCTGTCCGGTGGCAGCTTGGAGCTGCTGCCGGTTTTTTTCCCGCAGTTTGTTTGCTCGATTTTTTCGATTCGGCAATTCTTAACTAATAAAGAATTGTTTATTAATTTGGTGTGCGTGCTCTCCATAGCTGCACTCCACACAGGTCCTCATCGTTACAGTACAGCTTGAAGTGATCAAATTCAGCCCCCGGGCATGCGCGGTTCTCAACTACGGTCCCGTGAAAATTTTCGGCAGAAAAAATTGCTAACTCGGGAGCCAGAAAAGCTGGGAGGCTGATATTTTAAGGGGATTTTCCCAGCCCAAGTATAATTCAAAGATTTTGAATTCAGACCTCAGGTATGCTCCTAGGTCACGTACGACTGCGTGAAAGTTTGGCGGGAAAATTGCTAATTCTAGAACCAGGAGGGCTGAAAAGCTGAAACTTTAGGGTAATATTCTCTGTCCAAATACAAATTAAAGGTTTCAAATTCAAAGCCTCCAGGTACGCGTGGTTCTTGTGTACGGGCAATTAAATTTTTTAGTGAGGAAACTGCTCGTTGAACAGCAGGGTCATTTTCAAAAAGCAACAGTTAAATGGAAATTGTTTATTTTCGTTTAAGCGAAATTCACAATAATTGACGGTATTGAGCGCACAAGGTAGTGTGTGAAGCAACAACCATTCATACAATTAACCCAATTCAAATCTGGTGCAAAAACGCATGATCGCACCGGCAAGGTTGGTGCATTCCAGCCTGGATTGTATCTATGCAATGCAGAAACGCATGTTGCCGAGTGGTTGTCTGTGTGTGGATCTGTTTGTCTGTCTGTCTGTCTGTCTGCCCGTCTGTCTATCTGCACCAACTTTTCATCTCAATAAAAGACCTACGAAAGCTACAAGACTGAAACTTCGGCAACTTAATCAACACCCAGGTAGGAACCTTCACTCCCAAAAACGGACGCTCACTTCCCCGTAGTCCTCACGCACGGGTACGTGAAAAATTTCTTGGCGAGAAGGCGATCTCGGGAAGGACGCATGCTAGAAGGTTGAAGCTTCACGATATTGTTTGCCCAGCTCAAACCCAAAGATTTTAAATTCAGCCTTCACGCATCCATATGTTTCACGTACGTACACGCCGAATTTTAAATTGCCGTCGTGCTAACTCGAGATTAGGCTGACCAAGAAGTTGTAGAGGGCTGTAATTATGCAGTACTGCTTGTCGTCCATTGGTGTGCCTATGAAAATAAATTGAGCTTACCAGCCCTTCTGCAACTCGCGTGCGGACACGTGAAATTTCACGTACACACTTTTGTAACTTCGAAATTGAGGCAGCTAGATGGTTGAAATTTTCTGAGCGTGGTGGTCGGCGGCGTCTGGCCAGATGGGGGTGAAAATAGTCTTTACGTTCCTTTCATACCTCACGTACGCTTCACGCACGAATACGTGAAGTTTGAAGTAACTCGGCAACCGAAGCAGCAAGAGCGCTAAAATTTTTTGAGCTTGGCCCAGGACCATGTCTGTGCAGAGACATATAAAAACAACATTCGTTTTTATGCGTTTTTGCTGTGCAGCGCTATAGCAGGTTGTCTTCCTTCGAGTGAACTTTGTCACCCACTTTGATCTCAGCAACCAGGAAAGCTGGGAGGCTGAAATTTTGGGTACCTGTTCCTACCAAGTGTGTCATCCGCCCTTTTTAAAGTTTCTGCTCATACGCGCCTAGATCCCGCGTACGAAGACGTGGAATTTTGCGTAAACCAGCAACCAGGGCAAATACGCTGCCGAAATTTTCAAAGGTTGGTCCTCGAAAGTGTTTGGACAGATCTACATGAAAAAAAGCTTCTACATTCCCCTCACGTACAGACATGTGAAGTTTGACTCAACTGCGTAACCAAAGTAGCTGAAATGCTGAAATTTTCTAAGCGTGACCGAGGAACATGTTTGGGCAAGTAGGTGTAAAAAAAACATTCACGTCCTTTTTAGTTACGAATACGTGAGGTTTAGCGCAATTTCACAACAGAAGCATCAAAAGTGCTGAATTTTTTAAAGCATGGCAACGGCTGATTATATTGTGAGTCATTGTAATAATTTCTGAAAACAGTGATGGCCAGTTTCAATTCTTTTAGCTAGAAGCACCTACCGCTAAAACCATTGCCGTTAGCAACAAAAACTCGCGGGGAGCTTTGCAAAAACGCATATTCGCACCGACAACCGGTGGGCTGGTGAATTATTCTATAATAGGCCATAAGTTATTCGCAAAATTTCAAGTCTTTAGCAAAAATCAATAGTGGCACGCTTTAGAGCTGCCGGTGCCAACATAATTTTTGCGCAAGACTAGAAAAAGACATCATAAACAGCACAAAAGGTCGTTGCTTTACAGTTTAACATCTGCACACCACGTTCACACTGTTTTTGATCATTTGCTGCATAGAATGGGAGCAAAGTACTGACTATCTCTGGGTCGTAGTGCTGAATTGTGGGGCCGTGTATATCTCAGTCTCCAGTATGGATGATTAGCGTGACCAGTTTGCTGAAGATTTCACACCGTCTAGTTTTCACGCCAAAACTTTCACGTGTCCACACGTGAGACGTAGACATGCTTGACAGTTGATTTCACTTTCCTAGAGCCGCAAGTGGCCGAGAAACACACAGGCAAAATGAAACACACTGCTAACTCGGGAACGAGAAAAGCTGGAAAGCTGAAACTTTAGGGGAATGTTCACTACTCGAAGCGCAACCAAACGACTTCAAACTCAGTTGCTCAGGGCTAGCCAGGACACACGTACAGGCATATGAAAATCTTGGCGGGAAAACTGCTAACTCGAAAACGAGAAAAGCTAAAAAGTTGAAACTTTACGGTAATGTTCAATCCTCATGTATAACCAGAAAATTTCAAATTCTGCTCCTTAGAACCGCCTGGGACTGTCGTACGGACAAGAGAAAATTTTGGTGAGAAGGCTGATAACTCGAGAACAAAAACAGCTGGAAGGTTACAGTTTTAAGGGGATGTTCCCCACTCACGTGCGACTAAAAGATTTCAAATTTGACTATACTAATGGGGATTTTTTTGCGGACCAGCAACTTTCCATTTCTACAACTGACATGCCGCATAGTTGCACAATTAACTTCCCGAACCTCGAAGGCCAGTGTGTCACAGGGCTAGCCACTGCAATTCCTTATTATCTTGCTACAGCACGAAAAGTGCAAGAACGTATGATCGCATCGGTCCGCCTGGAGCGTTCCAGCCTAGGTTGCATTTACGTTTTATGTATATGTATATGTGTATGTGTGTGTATCTGTGTGTGTATGTGTGCACATGTGCATGTGTGCCTATACGCTCACATTTTTCCACCCACTTTTAATCTTCAGGAGCTAGAAAACTGAAACTTGTGAAACACGTCCTTACTTCATATGCTACTTTCCGGCTTAAAAATCGCAGTTCATGCATACCTAGGCCTCATGTAATCGAAAGAAAACATGAAAGATTTTGGTGGGAAAATGAAGTCCGGAAGTCTGAAATTGAAATTTCACGAGACTGAAATTTAAGACTGAAATTTCACAAGGATGTCTCATTTTCTTGTATGAATTAAAGATTTCAAATTCATCCAGTATGCATAAATGCTGCAACGTCAAAGTTGAAATCGAAATAGCGTTGATAAAACGCCAACACGGAAACCAATCTGAAGAGAGCGGTTTGACGTCTCGAGAACATTTACTGTCCCTATGTGAGCACCTTGCGCACTGTCTCGTATTCGGAAATGTCAAATACATTGTTAACGAAAAGTGATTTTGCAAACTGGCCAGGCTGGAAAGCTGAAACTTTACGAGGACATTCTATGCCAGAGTGCGAATCTTCAAATTCGGCTTCAAAGCGCCCATGGGTCTTGCATCCATGCAAATAAAATTCCAGCTTGGGCCAGTACTAGCACAAAACTAACTCGATAACCAGACTAAGCAGGAAGCTACAGTTTTTATGTGAGCTGAATTACTGTTAACACTGGCATGAATCAGGGGTGATAAATAAAAACGGCTAGGACAGATGGTTCAATCATGATTCAGTCGTGATAAATAAAAACGGCTAGAACAAATGACGATCAAAGCAACAGATAGAAATAAATGGCAACGCGCACCAGACTAGCCGGTGCGATCATG